GCTCATCCTTAAGTCCTTACCTTTTTGCGTTGGTAATGGATGAGTTAACATGACATATTCAAGATGATATTCCTTGGTGTATGCTTTTCGCAGACGATATAGTGTTGATAGATGAAACCCAGAAGGGGTAAATGCAAAGCTTAACCTTTGGAGAGAAGTGTTGGAATCTAAAGGTCTTCGCCTAAGCCGATCAAAAACAGAATATATGGAGTGCAAGTTCAGTGCAAATGGAGGCCAAAGCGAGTTAGGGGTGAGGATCGGAGATCAAGAAATACCAAAGAGCGACCGTTTTCGTTACCTAGGATCTATCTTGTAAAAGAACGGAGAATTAGATGGAGATCTCAACCATAGAATACAAGCTGGATGGTTGAAGTGGAAGAGTGCATCCGGCGTGTTGTGTGACCGCCGTATGCCACTGAAGCTCAAGGGAAATTTTTATAGGACGGCAATAAGGCCGGCGATGCTGTATGGCACAGAATGTTAGGCGGTGAAGCATCAACACGTACACAAAATGGGTGTAGCGGAGATGAGGATGCTTCGTTGGATGTGTGGGCACACAAGAAAGGATAAGATTAGGAATGATGATATCCGGGGTAAAGTAGGAGTAGCCGAAATTAAAGGAAAGATGAGAGAAAATCGGTTACGGTGGTTTGGACATGTGCAAAGAAGGCTTACTGACGCTCCGATTAGAAGATGTGACTATGAGACAGAGGTTCAAGGCCGAAGGGGTAGAGGAAGACCTAGGAAAACTTTGGAAGAGACTCTAAGAAAAGACTTAGAGTACTTGGATCTAACGGATGACATGACACAGGACCGAGCACAATGGCGTTCAAAGATTCATATAGCCGATCCCACTCAGTGACTTGGATTTTCCAAGTCTCCAACCGAGAAGTTTTCCTCACTCGGGAAATTAAGGGAATATTACCTCAACCTACATGCTCCACTCACAAAGCTTTAACATACAAGCTTCAACAAAAGAAAATTCAAAGAACTTAGCGAAGAAGGCTTTGGTGTATTTAACACAATACGTTGAAATGAAAGAAAGCTATTTATTGATATCCCCGATAAGTTACAAATATGTACATATACATGAGTCAAAATAAACAAACAAGAGGGAGCCTTCACAAAGGTTGCTTAGGAGAAGTCTCAGCAGTCGGTAGAGCCCCAGAAAGAGCAGGCACTGGAGGGGGATCATTTAGAGCCTCAGTACTGGACAGAACCCTAGAAGAAGGAGGCAGCAGAGGTTGATCATTTGGAGCTTCATTATGCGGTACAGCCCCAGAAGACGAAGGCAATAAATGCCTTTGGAACAAACCCATAAATCTCTGATGATCAAGTAAAACCTGACCATCAGATTCCTTCATTTGGTCAAGCTTCCTCTTCATGTTTGTAGCATAGTCATGTGCGAGCCGGTGCAACTGTTTATTCTCATGCTTGAGCCCTCTAATCTCCTATTTGAGACTCATCACTTCAGCCGCCAATGATTCAACTTGGCGGGTTCGAGCAAATAGGCGTTGGGCCATGTTAGACACAGAACCTGCACACTGAACATTGAGAGCTAGAGAATCCTTAACAGCCAACTCATTAGACCGTTTGGAAAGTAGTCTGTTATCTTTGGGAGTGAGAAGGTTCCTGGCCACTACCGCAGCGGTCATATCATTCTTCATCACGAAATCTCCAACGGTAAGAGGACCAGTAGGGGAGACGAAGGATGGGCGCCATATGTTGTCTGGAGAAGGCGTGGCTGCCTCTTCAATAAGGTTCAAGTCAAAACGACGGTCGGAGGGGCCAGACATTTTCAAAGGTGTTGAAGAGAGAAAAGGTCGGACAAATCAAGATCTTAGAAGTGCAAGAATGGAGCTTCTACTAGTGGAGATTCAAGTGTGCTTTGGAACTTAATGCCAGCCTCTATAAAAATCTGCACTCGACGGAGCTTCAGAAATCGAAGAGGCATTTGCTTTCTCAAAAGCTGGGCTGCTCAGAGACCACGAGGGTCGATCTCAGAAATCGAAGAGACGTTTGCTTTCTCAAAAGTTGGGTTGCTCAAAGACCACGAAGGCCGATCTCAGAAATCGAAAAGGCGCTTGCTTTCTCAAAAGCTGGGCTGCTCAGAAACCACGAGGGCCGATCTCAGAAATCGAAGAAGCACCTACTTTTCCAGCCTTATCAGCACCTGTCACACGCACACTCAGCTTTGCGGAAATTATGGGCATTATGTCGAAGATTTCTGGTGAAGTAGAAAGCACATGAATCTTATTGTTCAATCACCCACTTCCCACATGCAACATTAGCTCATGGGTACCATAGATAACTTTGCCAAAGTTCTCTGACAAAGTTGAGACACGTGAAGCTTGCAGCTCTACTACATCGCTCTGACCAAGAAGGGTAAAAGAATAGCAAAGAAACAGCACTAACAAAGTTTAGACACATAAATTTTGAAGGTCTAGTTACCATATTATTATCCACAAGGGTAAAGGAACAGTACCACTGCTGGATAATTGGAAAGTCCTTGTGTGTCAACCTCTGTGCTTCGTGGCAAGGTAGACTAGCAAACATGCCCAACCTTTTCTCACATTCGAGAAAACACTCCCAACAAGATTGCTTGCTCCAAAATCGAAGAGGCACCGCCCTCCGAATCTCGAGAGCCAGACTCCCAACATGATTACTTTCTCAAAAATCGAAGAGACACCGCTCTCCGAATCTCGAGAGCCAGACCCCTAGCAGGATTGCTTTCTCAAAAATCGAAAAGGCATCGTTTTCTGATCTCGAGAGCCAGATCTCCGACAGGATCGCTTGTTCGAAAACCGAAGAGGCACCACTTTCCCAACTTCAAGAGCCGGATCTCCTTGGATAAAGCTTGTCTGTAATCTTCACACGCAACATCAGCTTTCCAGATACCACAGACCACTTTTTCAAAGTGCTCTGACAGACTACCGTGCTATGACCAAGCAGGGTAAAGGAATGGCATTACTACTTGTTGTTAGGGAGACTCCTATATATGTCGACCTCCATCCCCAACGGACAGGCAGACCTGCAAAAATGCTCAACCCTTCCTCATATCTGAGAGGGCACTCCCAACGAAGCCTTTCGAAATATTCAGCTTTCTTTCCCCCCGATAATACCTCTGCAAACAAGCTATACTAAAGCAAGAATATCTCATATCATCAGGGTTAAAAGCAAGAGTATCCCATATCATGCTTTTTTCCTGTCTTTTCCTTTGGCCTTGTTCTTACCTGCAAGACAAGGAGAAAGAGAGCAATCAGTCAGCACTTGGAATCAAGCTTCCAGTCAGGAACTGACTGCCTGGAACCCCTTACTTGATTACTTACCTGGCATTGCTCTCGAGTACTCATCTTCAACATCTTATGCTTCCAGGGAAGATACCGCATCTGCCTGAGGAACAGATAGGGCAAGTGAGAAGGATACAAGGAAGCATGTGGAGACAAGCGTAACAGCACACGTGCCGATACATCCACTACTCTGTCAAAAGCAAAAGTATCCCATATCAGCAAGGTCGAACGTACTATAGATTTGATGGACTTGTTTTGACCCTCAAATTCTTCAGTCGGCCTTATACTCTGGAGGAAACCAGAAAATCCTCCAGCCCAGTTCAAGAATAAGCCTGTGGAAAGTTACTTCTTCAAAAGCAAAAGTATCCCATATCATCTCTTCTCATTTTTCTTCTCTTTATCCTTCATGCTGCCTGCAAGATAGGGAGAATGTGAACAATCAGCCGGAACTCGAAATCAAAGTTCTGATCTAGGACTGATTGCTTGGAGCTCTGATTGCTTACCTTGTCTGTCACCTCTTTCAGCAGATCCCCTAGCTCGGCGACTTAGGGGATTCCTACTACATGATTTGTATCGCGTTTGACCAAGCCTGAAACTACAAGTAAGCTTCAAGTGAAATTGATACATTACCTTGTGCATCTCCACCAGTTAAAGATACCACCCAGATAAGGCAAGTCAAGACGATACCACACTCCGGTACTTAGAAGTTTCGTGATTACGAGATCATTCTCCCACAATATTTCCTAATGTCATTTGTACTAAATCATTCACTTGTACTCACTAAAGGAGAGCTTGAACCTATGTACTTGTGTAAACCCTTCACAATTAATGAGAACTCCTCTATTCCGTGGACGTAGCCAATATGGGTGAACCACATACATCTTTTGTTTGCTTTCCTATCTCTATCCATTTATATACTTATCCACACTAATGACCGGAGCAATCTAGCGAAGATCACAAAAAGCGACCGTTTTCGCTACCTAGGATCTATCTTGCAAGAGAACGGAGAATTAGATGGAGATCTCAACCATAGAATACAAGCTGGATGGATGAAGTGTAAGAGTGCATCCGACGTGTTGTGTGACCGTCGTAGGCCACTGAAGCTCAAGGAAAAATTTTATAGGACGGCAATAAGGCCAACGATGTTGTATGGCACAGAATGTTGGGCGGTGAAGCATCAACACGTACACAAAATGAGTGTAGCGGAGATAAGGTACTTCGTGGGATGTGTGGGCACACGAGAAAGGATAAGATTGGGAATGAGGATATCCGAGGTAAAGTAGGAGTAGCCGAAGTTGAAGGAAAGATGAGAGAAAATCGGTTACGGTGGTTTGGACATGTGCAAAGAAGGCCTATTGACGCTCCGGTTCGAAGATGTGACTACGGGACAGAGGTTCGGGGCTGAAGGGGTAGAGGAAGACCTAGGAAAACTTTGGAAGAGACCCTAAGAAAAGACTTAGAGTACTTGGATCTAACGGAGGACATGACACAAAACCGAGCGCAATGACGTTCTAGGATTCATATAGCCGACCCCACTTAGTGGGAAAAGGCTTTGTTGTTGTTGTATCAATTTGAATGTGTAGTGAGATTTAGGTTTTCGTTCGGTTTCTTTTGTATGTTTGTTTCAGCGTTTTGGTAGCATGGCTGGGGTTTTCCAAGTAATGATATGATGTTCGAGCCTTGGACAAGAATGATGTCGACCCTCCTTTCATGGCTAAGCTTGCTAAGATTGCAACGGCCGAAATCATATCCTCGAAGGTACTTTTGTGTTCTTCGTCCTGATGATGCTCTGTTGATCTCATAGTAGAACTACTTGCATGATTGAATTGTTCTCTTTGATTTAGGAGCTCAATGCAGACTGGCAAAGAGCTGCGTCAGCCGTTCTTGTTTCAATCGGCAGACATTTGCCAGACCTAGTAAGTTTTGTTGTTTTACAACAAACTTTACGTTTTCATTTACATCTTAGAACCAATTATCTTTCTTTTTTATTACAACACCTCTTAGGATAAACTGAAAAATAGTAGTATATTCTCTTTTTTTCTTTCAAGCGCCCGTGAGAGGTGACATTTTGTTTTAATCAGAAATATCATGCATGACTTGACTGCCAAGGTACTTATCTACAAAGCCCCCTTTCAGGCTTAGATTGTACAATGGGAAAAATGGCTTCTCCATAATCTTGGTTGTCACTCACCAAAGTAACTAAAATCTAACACTAGAATGCCATGTTATAGGATACGGATTTAGCAATTATTTTTTTGTAAAAATTTCAATTTTGGCTATAAAATGGTAAAAATGGTTTGTATGGATACTTTTTGCTGTTTGCTGGGCAGTTTTTTAAGGAGAAAATGACCTTGCAAAGAAATAACAAGAGGCTTAGTTAGGGTTGACTGCCTCTGCATTTTGAATATACTTGTCTTCCCAGACTTAAATGATCCTGGATGTTTACCGTTTAGGGCAAGCTATCTCAATATTCTTAGAAAGTTCTTGCATTAACCAAATCTACAGTATTATTTATTGTTTAAGGTGGGGCTTTGTCAGGCTTTTTCCATTTTTTAAATAATTGAGAAGCATTCAGTAATTCTGTGTAAAGCTGATAATGTAATATTTTATTAGCACATATTTCTGTTTGACTGATCACATCCCTTTTCTTTGGATTGTGGGATGTTGGGCCAACCCCAATCTTTAGCAGAAATGGACTATTTACACTTATACTATGATTTCACATACACACTACCTCTCCCTCTACCCATCCTCCCTACCTCGCTCCTTCCCAGTTCTCCATGATATTCTTAATTAACTCTTCTTTTACTTGGTTTTTTCTTTTCTTTTCTTGATTTGGCAGATGATGGAAGAAATTTTTCTTCATTTGCCTGGGCCAAACTCAGCTTTACCAGCTATGGTTCAGATACTAGCAGACTTTGCTCATGCTGATGGTTAGTGTTAAACTTTCCTTTCTTTGTGCTTCTCTTCCACCTTGGGATCCCACATGTTACTTGGTTTTATATTTTGGATTAAACTAAAATGTGCCATACCTTTTTTGCTTTAATTTTGTTGAAGCATTGCAGTTCACCCCACGATTGAAAGGTGTGCTTTCACGGGTTGTACCTATTCTTGGAAATGTACGAGATGCCCATCGGCCTATTTTTGCTAATGGTATGCTGAATTGTTATTGACCTCTTTCCCTTCTTGTTCAATTGATCTTTGCCTCTAATATTGTGAAGTGAAATTGGAGTAAATAGGTTTTGATTATTTGGTAGACTGTGGAACTATTTGTTAAATGCTGTAGCAAACACGGTCAAAGTTGCATAAGAAAGTTTGTATCAAAACACACTGTATAACTTACAAACTTTAAAGACTGGTTCCATTTCATACTTTCATCTAAAATCAAGAACAAAGGAAAATAGGTTTGTGTGTTGGCTGCCACATTGATTAACCAAATCAAACCCTTAACACATTTGTTCATTTGACATTTCAGAGTGACTTGAGAAGGTTATGGAAGTTTGTATTAATAGTGTCTCCAGAGAAATTCTGGCCATTCGTCACCTGTTAATTACCACACACTTCCATGATAGGATTAGAGTATTCAACCAAAAACCAATTGGCAATGGATAGAGATGCCCAAGATCTTTTAAAATACTGGCAATGCTTCCATTTTTAAATGTGGATAAACTCTTCTCAACTATCTGTGTGTCTTCATGTGTAAAATGGTTTTGTTTCGAAGTTGCAATTAGGCACATATTTTTACCTCTCTCTCTCTCTCTCTCTCTCTCTCTCTCTCTCTCTTCCCTTATTTTTTGACACAGGTTCAATAAAATATATTATACTAATTTACTCAATAAGTTTGCTGACGATGTTTACCATCTTTCCTGTTCTTTTCAGCTATTAAGTGCTGGTGTCAGGCTGTTTGGCAGTATAGCCTGGATATCCCTTCGCATTCACCTTTGGATGCTGACATCATGTGAGATAAACTATTAGTTGTTCTTAGCATTACAGTTTCTTCAGTCCTGGTTCTTTTCTTATTCCTATGCCTATTTTATACTTCTTGTCTTAATGAATGAATATCATTTAGTGCAGGTCATTTTTGAATTCTGTTTTTGAGTTTTTATTGAAAGTTTGGGCTGCTTCACGCGATCTAAAGGTTTGAAAAATATTGTTGTTTCTATTTCTTATTGTAATTTCTATTTTCCATGGTGATTTTGTTTTCCTACAACCTTTAATTGCAACTACATCTAGGTAGTTGTTATTACAATAAAGTTAAACTCAGTCAAATACTTCATTTTGGGAAACACATTTTAGTCTTCTTTCTTATTTCACTTTAATGGCGCCTCATTGTTTTAATTGCCTTCTATTTTCTTTAAGATGAATCATGTTTCTATGCTTAGTTAGGCATAAATTTGTGAAGAGTTTTCCTAGTGGTATATTTTTCTCTTCCTAACTGTATGCTTAGGTGAAGTGTCGTGTATTCCTTGTTTCTGATTCTCTCTCTCTCTTTCTTGCTGGATGTATGATACTTTACACTTTTTCTTTTTTATAGACATGAGAACTAATGGCATTGGAATCTGGTTTCTATAAATTTAATAAACTCTTTCTTGAATAGGTTCGCATGTCATCTGTAGATGCATTAGGACAGATGGTTGGCCTTATTACCCGGGCACAATTAAAGGCGGCTTTACCCAGACTTGTCCCCACGATATTGGAACTGTAAGATTGATTTATCATGAAACAGTACTTCCTGCTCCTGCACTATAAATAAATGTTCTGTAGACAAGTCTTTGATGATACAGTTCCTAAACCCGTATTGCACTTGTATATTTTCAAAGGCATGCATGGATATACACACCTTCACTAAATTTTTTACACGTCAGTAACGTTTGTAGCTTTTTCTTTATCCCGCCGACCAGGTATAAAAGAGATCAAGATATTACCTTTTTGGCAACATGCAGTCTTCACAGTCTCTTAAATGCTTCTATACTGTCAGAAAGTAGTCCTCCTTTACTTGATTTTGAGGTAATGAAAAACATATTGTGTTCTTTTTTTTCTTATTTAGTTTGTTGGTGCTGAAGTTTTAGAAATTGTTCTTGTTCAGAAAAGTTGAGCTTGTTGATGGTTTTAATCTTTAATAACTGCTGCTTTTTTTCCTATTCAACCTTGTGAACAATTTTAAAGGAATGAAACACCTAATCTGTGTTAAAGTGAGGCCATCAGTATGGCCATATTATTCACTATAGGCCGAATTACCTTTAGTTACTTTCGGAATACTACTAATATTCTTTTCGATGCTAGTATTGTTTATTTTGTGTTGTTTTGTACTCATGGTGGTTTTCAGGAGCTTACAATTATTTTATCAACACTCCTGCTGGTGGTTTGCATCAATAATGACAACAAAGAACACTCAGATTCGTCAGTTGGACTGAAGGTTAAAATGTGTTCCTTATTTTTTGTTCAAATAACACAAGTTCCTGCATTTTGATTCATGGACTTTGTCCATAGAGTTTCTGTAGTTGTATGCAGATGTTGATGGCTAACCGTTTCAGCACTCCATTGTTAATTTGGTATTCTACTTTTTCTCAATGTTTGAGTTGTTTCCATTCTGGGCAGACTTACATGATCTAACATTCTTATGATTTTATTTGGAGGTTGTCTGAAGCTTAGCACAGTAAACGGCCTTTTCTTGTTGAAGCTGTACTGTTCTTGATAGATGAGCAAAATTTAGGTGTCCGAAAGGCACTTTCAGAGGTATGTCGTGTGAACTTATGGTTTTCTTTGTAACTTAAGTACATCTTTCTCTCTTAACATTGTTTATTATTGTTTGAAGCAGTGCCGAAGACATGGTAGTACAAGTAGGGGCAGCTGCCCCTTTGGCCGTTGGAAAACCCCATGCAGAGCAAGGAATCCACCTCTCTGAACCGACACGAAAGGTATTTGACGAAATGCTTGAATGAAATTCAAGTCTATTGTCATTGTTGTGCTGCTTTGCTGCATTACGTTTTGCAAGCTTGCGGCCAATGTTTCAACCTATGGTGGAGGTGCTTCAATGAATTATTGGTTATCACAACCAAGATAATCTAGATGAAGCAAATAGGTTGTTCAACGACCTACAAACTTTTGGTTTGTGTTTCATCTTTTTTTATGAGATTTATATTGGGAATTACAATTGAGTTATCACAAGAATTACAAAAGAAAGGCCGAGACGTTGTGAAAGCAATTGTGTTAGTGGAATGCAAACAAAGACTACAATCCTTAAAAGATGATGACTTTGAGGATTTGTTTCATAATGTATAAACGTTTTATGCGGAAAATGATATTAATGTTCCTAACATCGAATATTTCTATTTCGCACCCAAAAAATCAAATCATAAAGCTAAAAGACTTGCAAACGTCAATTATTATCATATGCATCTAAAAAAATTGAATGGTTACTTCAGTGAGGTGAACACCGACTTACTTCTGTGTATGGATGTTTGAGTCTGGTCTACAAATTTGCACCTTTTGAAAAAAAAAAAAAAAAAAAAAGAAAAAAAGTTCATTTTGCCAAATTTTATCCTTAAGATGATTGTGTGGATTTCATGAATCTTCTAATTCAACTTGACAATTATAAGCATGATATGAAGATGCATAGTGAGTTTCATCATTGAAAAGAATTATTGATCTTTGAAAAGAATTGGGAAGATCAAGATGAGTGAAAGCTACAAGTATGTGTATAAGCTTTTTAATTGGCTTTCGGGGTTGTCGGTTTCAATATTGTGAAAACACCAATGTATAACAAAATGAGAGATAAATGGTTGAGTGGTAGCATGTTGTTTACATTGAGAGATATGTTTTTGCTTTTACTAATAAAAAGCATATTATGCGGCTTTTCATGACATAAAATCTCACCAACCACCCAGACACCTGAATCGCGATATGCTAGCCGACACCTAGAAGGTGATGAAGTCATAAAGTGTGGTGATGTGGAAAATGTAAATAAATTAAAACCTCAAAGTGACTAATTTAGAGTGCGCAGGTAAGTGAGGATTGAACCCATATTACACAAGTGATGTCAGAGCATAGCTACATTGCAATAAAAGAAGGGTAATGACATTTATACTAAAAGGAGAAGTCTCCTACATAATAGCTTTTGCCAACAATCCTCGTCGTCACGAAACCTCTACCACTAAAATCCTAAAGGGGCGAAAAACAAGAATGAGTGGGCCTAACAAATAAAGTTTTGTAACATATTTTCGAAAGGTGTAACCCCTTATAGTAAAACAAGTATATAGTTTCCTAAAAAAATACTATAATACTAGTATGTAATACGGTACCCTGCAACAAAAGTGAGTTAAAAGATGTAGAGTACAACAACAAGTTTCCTCAACATTAAATCTTGAATCGATATTATAAGAAATCACTGCTCATTAATTTATGTAGCCACACAAGTCCATTTTAGAGATATTCAGACAATAGAACAGGCTGAGTGTAGGTTTTACATTCTAGTCCTACATTACATGAGCTGCACTAGTCGCAGCCAAGGTATAAAATATCGATGATATCGGAAATATCAGTAGTCCAAAAACATAGAAATTTCAATGGAAATATCGGGATATTATCGATATCGATAAAAATTGAATAAAAACCACTGAAATTGTAAGAAAAACTTGAAATTTTTTATTGAAACTTTGAAGGATGTTTATTTAGTCAATTATCTATTAGTTTATCACAAAAAATTTGAAGGAAATGCATTGCATGATAGATATAACTTATTTAAATTGATTATATAGCGAGTTGGCAAACATTGAGTGTAGAAAATATGTAGTAATTAATGAAAGAAGTTTAAACACACCATAATCATTTATATATAATGAATTAGTACAATATTTTACACTTTATACATTGCATGGTAAGATACATGAGTGACTTGGCAATGTCCAAAATATCGATGATATCGGAAATATCGGTAGTCCAAAAACACGGAAATTTCAATGGAAATATCGAGATATTATGGATATTTTAGACCATGGTCGCAGCACATACTAGTCCAACACATCATACAAAAGGACAGGTTGTCACTTAACTCTGGATCCAAAGCGAATGTAAATGGTGCATGTGAACTACAAGTTAAGTTGGTTTTTGGTCCAGGACAATACAAATAACTAAGAGACACTGTGCAAACATGTAATAATGAGCAGATAAAATGTAAGGATGTCATGCCATAAGTTTATGCTCACAAATAATATAATAAACATAAAGTGTATGGAAAGTTTATTTGTAAAGCTACACATGTCATGTCACATTATAGTATATAAAAGCAGTTGTTGGGACAAAATCACATATACATATATATATATGTGTGTGTGTGTGTGGGTGTGTGTGTGTAAAAAATGAAAAGACCTACTCACAAATATTTGCGATGTCACAACCATTCGAGTTGGGAAAAGCGGAGTCTCTGATAGTAATCACACCTAAGCATAATATTGAGACCTATTAGTAAAACTTAACTTAAACGATTAAATTTGGGAAAACAGAGTGTGGATTTGGAATTAGAGTGTTGAAATACGCTAAGAGGGGTCCCAGGCAAATTTTGTAAAAAGTCAACAAAAAGTCAACGGCCAACCCTAAAAAGTCAACCAAGACGCCGAGTTGGTCAACTATTTTAAAACTTAGGAATTTCACTAAATGGATGTAAAAAAAAGACTCGAGACGTCGATTAGGTTAGAAGGGTTTCCGAGAAAATTTCGTTAAAGTCAACACAATGAATATTCCAAGAATATTCCAAACAATATTAAAAAAAATATTCTCAGAATATTCCAAATCCTTTTAGGAACTTGGGCTTAGGCCTTTTTTTTTTTTTTTTTTTTTTCTATTTCTATACCTGGTCGGGTTGACCCGTTAGGACTCGCAGGTCGGTCTCGCGGATCTGGGTCGAATCCGTGTTAGAGTGAACATGTCATGGGTTTGGGCCTATTCATGGATTGGGGTTTGGGCTTTTTTTTTCCTCAGATTCAGTTACCGGTTTCTTCAAAGAAGAAAGCCGAAACCGGCAAGTTTGGCCAGGAAACACCCTGAGCTCCGTTCGAGCTCGATTCTTAACTATTTTTCATGAAATAAACGTCAAATTGAAGCTTGGGAGATTATGAACTAGGGCATACCAAACTAAGGTTGAGACGAGGTTAGGATCGATCGAAAAAGCCTGCAAAGGCCGGGTTTCTCGCCAAAAAATCTGGAAAAAAATTTCCCCAGTTAGTTCCTGAGTTCAATGTCACCAAAATCCCTAAAATTTACCCTAATCGTACTACAAAACATGGTCTACGAAGATTTTGGGGTTTTTGAACCTTACCTTCGTCGTGAACGACAAGAACTCGCTATGAATGTCATCGGAAAAGAAAAACATGAATAGTGGCTTCAAGGTAAAAGAATGAGTGGTGCTGGTTCGACATGGGGGAGAAAACGACGAAGGTGGTGCCGGCCTGGGTCATCGAGTGGAGTAACTCGCCGGAGTCGCAATAGCAAGGTGGTGATGGTGGTTCCCGCGTCACTGGGTTTCTTCCTAGCCTGGTGGACAATTGCATAAACATGATTCCATTTGGTTTCAGGTTTGAATGCTGGTATTGACTGAGATGGCGAGTGCTGAATGATGATGATCATGAAGCATGCATGCAGCTGAAGAAAGGAAAAGGAGTTTTACAGGAGAGAGAAAGGTGGAGTGAGGGATGATAGAAAACAAATGGCAGAAAATGAGCGGAGAGCTTGGATGAGTGATGGAGAAACAGAGGGTTAAGAGATAGAGAGTTATGGTGGTGGTATGGCGAAGCTCACCGGAGAAGGCAGTGAGTGGTGTTGGTGCTCAGCTACTCTGTGCTGCACAGAGAGAGAGTTTGAAGGAAAGAGAGAAGTGATATAAAGGTAAGGGAGGGAAAGTGAGTGGAGTGAATTGAAAGTGACTGAGAGAGGTGATGTGGAGAGCTGAATGTGCAGAGAGATATGTGAATGAAGTGAAAAGTGAGAGAGAAAGGGAGCAACGGGAGAGAGAATGAGAGATGTGAGGTGATAGACTAAAAAGAAGGAAAATGATGAAGTAATACGTCTGATGGAACAAATGTGGGTTTCTAAAACCCAAAATAAATATTATTTTAATAGCACACTTGAACCCATGTGATGTTCAATTTTTCAAACCCTTGCATGCCATTAGTCTGCACGAGGGTCATCAGACAGACAAGACCAAGGCAGCCTACTGCATGAAGCCATAGTTCAAATTTTGAAATTATCCCGGTAGTTTTACACAGTTTCAGACATAACTGGTTCGTTATAACTTTAAATTGAGTTCCGTCTGCAGCCACGTGTTCGTAAAAATGAGTACTAGTCGTAAATAGTAAAATAAGACTGAAAAAGGTGAAAGAAAAATTGAGGTCCATGTGGAAAGCCTACGTGGCATCTCAGAGGTATCTTGACATAAGCACCAATAACAACATCCTCAATGTTTACTCAACATATTGTTAAGACATGCGGCAAAGGGATAAACCAAGTTAGTAGATGAAATAAAATGTACACAAAACAAAGAAGAAAAAAACAATACTATATATGCAACCAGTGGCGGATCCAGGATTTTAACTTAGGATGGTCCCAATATAAAAGACCCAAAAAAAAAAAAAAAAAAAAACAAGACGAAAATATCATTGAACAAATAAATGGCAAACTACAAATTTCATTCATAATCTTTGTGCTAAACAAGCTAGAAATACTAAATTTGTCCACTACGGGATCTCATACTTTGAAAACGTGTCATTATAGTTTCATTGTCAATACAAGAAAAAACATCTTTCTCAATATAAACAACTAAGCTATCATTTAACCATTGATCCCCCATTCTGTTGCAGAGTGGACACTTAATGATATTCATGGCAGAAAATGCTCTCTCCACTGAAGCAGTTGCAATAGGTAAAACCAAAGCCAATTCAATAAGTAAATACACATAATGAAATACTCGATGCAACCTTTTTTCGACCATTTTCTTAGCAAGATCACTAATGCTTTGCAACTGAGAAAAGTCACTTCTCGAATGCATAGAATGAATATAAATATCGAGTTGATCTTCAAGTGCCAATAGGTCTTGCTTCGTAAAATCTTGAGGGTACAATTGAGCAAGGCGAAATAGCTTTTCTTTGTCAAAAGCTACAAAAGAATCATTTGTACTCAAACTAGCCAAACAAATGAGCAATTCGGTACTTGTTTCATTGAAGCGATCATTTAACTCTGTAAGTTGGGAATTAATGACAACAAAAAATAGCTCCACTTTGTAACGATGACGATTGGTCTTTTTGTGGGTATTACGCCGTGACCTCCCATGAGCTACATATGTCTCATCCATGTTAATAACCTCAATGGACACAAAATGACAATACTTTGTCAACCAAAAGGTCAAACCCCTCATCATTCCTCATGTAGAGTAGTTGTTCTTTACATGTGTTGACTAAAGTCATTGCATTCACAATCTCTTGATCATCCCTTTGTAATACTTGTGATAAATCATTCGTGATTCCTAATATAGATTTCATCAAAAATAAGAGAAACACAAACTCAAAAGATTGTATGTCTTTCAATAACCTATTTGCTTTGGCCACACTATCGTTGGTATTATCATCAACAATCATTTCAAGCACATTGACCACAGATGAGAACATAGTAATCAAACTAATCAAAGTACCATAATGTGAATTCCATCTTGTAGCTCCGGCACATTTGAGACTAGTTTCTTGATTTAAGCCTTGTCTCGTCATAAGAGAATCATTTTCAAGAGCTTTCATAAGTTCTTTTTGTTGCATCTCTCTAAGCGCATCACGACGCTTACATGAAGCTCCAATATTATTTACCACATTATTAGCCAATAGAAAGAATGTGTTAACATCAACATTATTCTTTGTTACGGCAACAAGAGCTAATTGGAGTTGATGAGCAAAGCAATGAACATAGAATGCACAAGGTTGATCATTCAAAATCTTTGTCTCGAGTCCATTGAACTCACCTTTCATATTACTAGCACTATCATAACCTTGCCCTCGTAAATTGGAGAAGCTTAACTCATTGAAATGAAAGAAGGCATCAATAGACTCCTTTAATGTGTTTGAAGTGGTGTCGGGAACATGTTGAACTCCTACAAACCTTTCAATGACTTTCCCATTTTTGTCCACATAACGCAAAACCACCGCCATTTGCTCCTTTATAGAAACATCACGTGCCTCATCAACCAATAGAGAAAAGAACCTAGCATTCTTCATATCACTTATGATAGTTTTAATGGTTTCAATAGAACATGAATGAACAAGATCTTTTTGAATTGAAGGAGCTATTAGCTTGAGATTTCCCGGAGCTTTATCTAACACAACGGCCTTTATTTTCTCATCATGATCTGCAAGGAATTGCAAGAGCTCCAAATAGTTACCTCTATTGTTTGAAGTGTCACTTTCATCATGACCACGAAATGAAAGACCTTATCACAACAAAAACTTAGTGCAATCAATTGACGCATTCAAGCAAGTGCGATAAGCCATACGAGCTTCTTCTGACTGTTTGACCAAAACTGTTTCAATATGTGTCTTTTGATTCATTAGATTACCAGCAGCTTCAACAGCTTTATTGTGAAAGCTACCAACCACTCCCACATGTTTTTCAAAACAGGCTTTTGCATGCTTCCAATTTTGAAAGCCTACCTTAGTACAGACGTCACTGCATGATTGTTCAAAGTTGACTTTGAATAGATAGCAATAAAAGCAAAATGCAGCATCTTTAGATATATTATATTCCAACCAATGAAATTCCTTCAACCAATTATCAACGAACCGTTGCTTTTTATTCGAATGCAAAGTGAAGGGAAAATCATGATCTTTAGCTCTAAAAGGCTCCATTAATATATATGCTATTCGGACCTCATCTCGAATATCTGGAGGATAATCCTTCATTGGAGTTCTCTTTCCGGGATCTCTCTCAAGATTATCCAAATCAACTTTTAACTCATTTTGTTGTGGAGTGGAATTACCCCCAATTGGATTAGAACTACTTAGAATTGGAGGGGAATTGTTCGGAATAGGATTGGAACCATCCAAGTTTGGAGATGAACTATTTGGAATATGATTGTCTGAACTAATCGATGATGATTTTCGCTTGTAATGGATAGTGGATGGCAAAATCATTTAATGGACAGAGTTAAAGAGAGCAGAGAGTAGAGTACAAACCTAAAGGAACGAGAGCGAGAAGAGAGTGAAGTTCTAATTGCGGTGCAGTGCAAGCAATCAGATTCAGATTCAGAAACTAGAGTGCAGTGCAGAAGAAAGTTGATTGATGTCGACGCCGTAAGGAACGAGAGTAGAGTGGACCTTGTTTGTGAAAGATTTGGTAACGAGAACGAAGAGAGGAACGAGACCGGACCTTGTTGTGTGAAATATTTGGTAACGAGAACGAAGAGAGTTGAACGATTTGGTAAAGTGAAGTTCTGATTGCTATGTGAAGGAGCTGAGTCTGAGGGTTCTCATGTGAGTGAGCAGTGAGGTTTTAAATTTTTTTAATGACTTGGCTCAAAACGACGTCGTTTTGGCCAAGTCATTTTAAAAAAAAATTTGGCTTTCTTCTTCCTCATTCAGAAATGCACAGCGACCAGAGCAGCCATGGCTGCTGTTCTTCTCCATCACTGCCCAGACTTGGGTGGTCCTTGAAGATCCTCACAGCCATTTTTTCGAGCTTCGGGTGGTCCCGGGACCACCCTGGTCCCTTAATAGATCTGCCCCTGTATGCAACAAACAAACCAAATTAGCCAGCAAACTAAATTTTGAAAAGGTGAAAAACTAAAACTCTAGCAATGAAAGCTAGAATACTAAGCACAATACTATCAAGTATGAGCCAAACCCCAATCCCTCTACCTAAAACACATAAAAATAGACAATAAATTAAGAGGAGTGTTAAACCCACCCCCTTTTCTTATTTCCCCACCCCACTTAAATGTGAAAATCCATTGACAACTATGTCAATTTAGGGCGTGTTTGGCATGCCGGATAACACACTGGATAGTACTATTTAATACTATCTAGTGTTTGGTGCCATTCCTTATTAAATTAGCACCATATTATTTATGCGGTCCGGCCTATTTTATATGACGTACACCGGATAACTTATACACTCCAAATCGTAGGTATTAATTAGTCGGGTCGCTGAAAACAAAATCTATGAAACACAGTGCCATAAATGTTCTTCAATCTCCTTTTGAGGAAGTAAATGAACATGATAATCTTTGATGAATTGAGTTTTTAATCCGGTACTGCACCAAATGCCCGATTAAATAGTCAGTATGCTCGACTAAATAGTCAGTACTATCCGATAACAAATTATCATATCCGACTGAAATAGTCAGTACAGTTCGAGTTGTCAAATGAGGTATTAGAGAATGACCGTAAGGACCTAAACAATAACCAATTGTATTTTGACATGTAAGCATTAGATTTTTTCATTAAAAACAAAAATAGCAGAAAAAGAAAAAACGAAAAAAATCAGAAAATCCCCACCCCGTTCTCACTATTATAACCAGTGTTCTAAAACGCGGTCAAGGCGGCCGCCTAGGCGCTGGGCGTCGGACCGCCGCCGCGATTTTTCCAAAAACGTTCAATAAATCGGCAAGGGTATTAGGCGGTGTCTAGGATGCCGACTGGGCGTGCTGGGCGGGCTGGGCCGTCGCGGCGGCGAGCTAGGCGGTCTCGGCGGTGAACTAGGCAATTGCTGGAAAAAAAAAACGAAAAATTTGACCTGGACTCTTCGGATTTCTTCACCGGAGCCAGCAACGTTTTCAAGGATCTTCGCTGTGCTAGAATATGTTTTGGGAAATTTTGCAGGGCAAGAAGATGGGGAATTAGGCGGAGAAGACGATGGAGAATTGGGCGGAGCAATCGAAGAAGTGGAGCTCGTCTCTGTGAACTGAAGATGAAGGAAGAAAAAATGTTGCTGGTAGAGCAATCAGAGAAGTGGAGCTCATCTGTGAAGATGAGAGGAGAAAGTGCGAAGAGAGAGAGAGAGAGAGAGAGAGAGAGAGACATTTCAAATGTAGTGGTGCGGGGAGTGGATCTCAAATCCAAGTTTACAGCCAAAAGCTGATGGTTTTAATGAAGAAAACCATGGACTGTAGTGGTTTTAATAATGAAAACCACCCAAGGTGGACATGTGGACATGTGGACATGTGATGCGAAAAGGTTGATGGTTTTAATAATAAAAACCACCACGTGGGTTTTTTATATTTTTAAAAATTTGTTATATATATTGTGTGTGTATATAAATTTTATATAAATTATAAATTATTTAGATAATTTTTTTTCTAAGAAAGCATATCATATATGTACATAAAACATTCACATATATATGTTCTTTAATAAGAAATAACATATTAATCAATAATTATTTATATTTGATATAGTAAATTTAATTAATTCATAAAATATATAAGAAATTTACCTAAATCCGCCTAGGCCGCCTAGGCGCTAGGCGCTAGCCCGCCGCCTAGGCGCTAGGCGCTAGCCCGCCGCCCGACTAGCGCCTAGCGTTTTTTAGAACCTTGATTATAACCACGATAAGTGCACAACCACACGCCTCCCTCACGACGGCTTCGATGATGGCTACCTTCTCTTCAACTCCGCCCTTTTCCCTTTCTCTCATGATAGTGTCCAATCTCAATCCAATTCCGGCAGTGAAAAAGATTGTGACAACGAAGGAAGATGGGTAAACTGATGGAGGTGGGCAGTTTTGAGGCCATGGTGGTGCTGCGAAGCTTGGATGGGGTGAGGCCTGGATGTTGGTGCAGCTGCCGTATTGGGGAATCGTGGTGCAAATGGGGTTTGGAGGTTTGTTGCTTCGATGGTTTTGGAATTGGGATGGTTAACAGATTTTTATCATTTTTTTTTGTTAAAGAGATATACAAATATATATATATATATATATGTATATGTATATATCCTATATATTCTAACAAATAAAATTTAACAGAATTTAGAGATATATAAAATGTTATATTAGGAATAAGGGAGGGTGGGAAAAGAGAGTTTTTCATTTTTAACTTTTTATGATGGGTGAAATTATAAGGTGGGTGGAAAAATAGGACAATGGAATGGGACTAGTAACACTCTAAATTAAACACACCTAAAAGAAGTGACGTTTGCCAGGAAAATAAAAGGATAACCAGAAAAGAAACAAAACAAAACAAAACAAAACATTTAGAAATACAGTTATCAAACGGTCAACTGTTTCATTTTGCAGTTGATTATTCTTAAAACACAATAGAAACAGTTTTTTTTTAATTTTTTAATTTTTAATTTTTTTTAAAGCATAGCAATTCCAAACTGGCTCTTAGTCATGTAAAATGGTGGATTCCCATGTCTATTTTAAGGATCATAAAAATCAATTATCAATGACACACCCTGACCCCAATGTCCAGGTGAACACCAAAATCGAAGCGTAATGACCATCACCCAGAATCTGACGTAGCCACAACATGCTGTCAATACAATAATAAAATAACTTTGAATAATTTACCAAAAATTCGGTAGAGTTTGCTTTGAAATTTGGTTCTGGCCTAAATTTAAAACCTGCTTAAAATATTATAATTACTTTAACACAACATCCCCTAAGGGCCACATCGAATGGGTTATCAACCGTCCACTACTTTGCATGATAAGTTGTTCAGAGCATGGCATATGTTTTACAACAAAAACGGAAGAGGTGAAGGTGCAAAGAAATCTGAAACTCTCATCCTATCATGAATGGACATTCATACAAACAAAAAGCACTTTAGGGAGTAGTCCTACTCGATACGGTTTAGGACTCGAACCTAATGATATGTACCTTGCTGGGACTCTAACCTGAAATGTTGGAACTTGAAGCCATAATACAAAATAGTTCGGACTATAAACCAAAACATGAATAAGTTGAGACTCTAACCCAAAACATGAATAAGTTGGGATTCTAACCCAAAACATGAATAAGTTGGGACTCTAACCCTAAATAATAGTTGAGTTTGAAATTTAACGTACGTCATGACAATAATGTATACGGCCGTACGAGTAAGGTGCTATGATGTGAGTACATATGCCTACGAAGTAGTGTATAAGATCATAATCCAAAACGATTACCAAATACATGATCATGCCTAGTAGTGAAAGCAGTATCTCAAAGAATCGTTTTTAAAAATTCATCAGCTAAATCATGTTTCCAACAGTAAACCAAGTATAGGAATGATCATAATCATATTTAAAATCATTTATATAGATATGTATATAATGAAAACCATTTTTGAAATTAAATTTCCACTCACCTCCAGCTAGCTCTCGCTTGATAGCCTAGTCTTTACCAATCTTGGTTAACTTTGTATCTAGACTGAATCATAATAATATCACGTCCTGAATTCGGAAACCTGATACACCATTTAATTTTATTTAATTTTATGGTTGTGTTTGGGCCCAAAATAACAGTTTGGGCCGAATGTAGGGTCATTCTCGGCCCGGAAGGCCTTGCGGCAAGAATACCATTGATCGTTCAGTACGTGGGCCTCCAAACCTAGGTTGGCTAGGTCGTAACACAAGAGGTCGAATCCTAGTGCCATAAGGAGTCTCGGCAGGACCCGGAAGCGAATCTGGCTCAGTTAAGGACTAAGTTCACAGTCCTAGTGAAGGTAGGACTGGTCGAGTTGATGTTGATCAGGGGAAGAAAACCTAGTTCGAGTAGGTCTCTAACTCGACCTTGGGGGGAGCCATTGCTATAAATAGAAGAGGTTGCACATCATTCGAAGCCCCTGCAAATCAATACAAAATTGCCCTGCGCAAACTCTCACAACTTGTGATTTTTCTTTTTCCTTTTTCGCTGACACATCTTCTGTTGGCATCAACAGCACTGTGGAAGCAACCGGTGATATCTTAAGTCGGCATAGATAGCTCTGTCACCGTAGAATCAGTCGGTCTCACAGTATCTTCCGTTGGCATCAACAGCACTGCGGCGAGAACGATTGATTACCTATCCAAGTCTCGGCCGAGAAGGGTTTCTAAATCCTTATTGGTCGAGGTCCTCTCATCAGCCTTCTCGGCGAAGTGAGGTGTTACAGTTATTACATTCGGCACATTGAAAGCCGAATTTGATATTGAACTTCGTAAGAATAGTAACCTTGTCT